AATAGAGGATGATGACAATACCCCTTCATACTTATTTGGTAAAAGAATAAACTCAAACAATGAATAAAGATGCTAAATAAACACGATTTGCAAAGATAATGCATTTACCAACTGTAACGGACACAAAAAGCATCAACAGGCCCAGAATTGGAGCTAGTTGGGGGGAGAGGGCAAACAGTATGCAAATCGTCCCAACAACCTACAACATGAATCGACCAACATAAAGTGAGATAAAATCATAAATGATCCTTTCAACAGAATCTCACATGAAGATTTCCTAGGAATGAAAAGGTAAACATAATATTAATTCTGCTAAAATTTAGAAATCCAAGAACTTTTAACTGTAATATTAGTGAAGGAAGAACTAAGTCCATTAGAGTCAGATAATTCGAACTACTACACCCTCAATTTTAGGCAACATCCAGCTCACTTTTACTTTAGTGTATAGTGGCTTGCCTCGGAAAGTGCCCTGAAACCACGATCCCTCGAAATGTTCTCACTGACAACATCTTTTAAAGAACCCAAATCAGATGTCAGCAAACCACTGAGCTCACTAATCTGTAATAAGCAAAATTCAAATACTAAACTTTCACAAACATCCACTAACAAAATAAATAAACACATGTTACTTAAAAAGAACATTCAGAAACCTTGTATCGATTGAAAAACTCCACCTGCATCAACAAATAAAAAAATTCAATTAGAAAAGGTAGCACTACTACTATTACAATTAAACTGACAAACCATTGAGAAGATGATTCAAAATATTCATAGGTTAAGCATACCTTTTGAACCAAAACACTTCTAAAAATCTGAGCTCGAAGTGTTGACATAACTTTATCCCATATGGTATTCATATTTACCACAAAAATAACAGTGAAAATAGGCTCTAATGGTATAAAAGCCCCACTTTGATGAGCAGCTTCCACAACGGCTCTGGTCTGGCGCCTATGAGAACTTCGAAGAATCGTCCTGTACATTTTCTCAATCTTTATTAATTAGCACAAGCAATTAAGTATATCCTATTTCATCTTAACTTAAAAACTGAAAGAAATTACTTACCAGAAAATATAGGCATTGACAGAGTACACGTGGTGCCGCCAACGAGAGCCAACACCGAAAGACTGAGTCTGAGCTTGTGCCGGGCAAGGAGACTCCATAGAAGCTTCCGGCTTATCAAGTTTGACGCCTCAGTCTTATCGGAGTCGGCCTCCAGATCGTCAATCCTCGGGTCGGATTCGGTCACAATCGGAGGACCAGTAACGTATGCGCGAGATACTGAACTCGAGATGTAGTTCGATCTTGAAGTTGCGGGGAGTGAAATTGGCGGGAAAGTGGATGGTGGTGAAGAGGGGCATTTAGAGAGAGACTGGGTTTGAGTTTGCGGGCGTGTTGTGTCTTAGTGAAGAAGCGCGTGGGGACGATTTGTTGAGGGAGGGGAGCAATTACAGGGACGGAGGCAGTAACCATGGGAATGAGGAGAGAAAAGAAATGGAAGAGAGAGAGAGAGATAAAGGGCTTATCACGTGACGTTCACGTCGAAGCAACGGATGGAAGACGGTACAGAAAACGACGACGTATGAAAAGGAAAGGGGGTATTCTAACCTCTCGTAACACTAAAATAGCCACGGACAAATTTTAGCCTTTGATATTAAAGCATCCAGCAATTGTAATTTTTAAAAGGCATAATAAACAAATTATCTTCCAACATTTGTATAAATCATTATTTTGTTCTTTTAACTTTTAAAAATATTTTCGTCTCTAAAATTTTAATTTTTTGTCAAAATAGTCATTGTTAAATAAAAATTGTTAATTAACTAAGGAATCGTTTGGTTCACGAAATGTAATATTATCACTGAGTATAAGATTATAAAATATAACATTACTCGATATATTGTTGGGAACGTTTTACTACCTTGTTTGATTAGTTTGACAGAAATATAAGATTACAGTGTTTGATTAAAGAATATAAGATGGAAATAATGTATATTTTACTAAATTGTCTTTAAGATATATTTTATTATCAATAAATTGAATTCTCAAAATTAAAGTAAAAAAATATGAAAGTTCATTGGAAATATAATTTTATTTATTATTTTTAATTTATATTTTTATAAAAATAAACGTAAAAATTAATAAACAAAATATCAATTCAAAATATTTGACAAAATTAATAAAAATATATTAAAAATTAAAATACAGAAATCCTTTTATGAAAATTAATCGTAATAGAATACATATAAAAAATAAAACTTAAATCAAACACATATATAATAAATATTAAAATAAATTAAAATTTTGATATATTTTTGTTTTACTTTTTATTTTATATGAATCATATTATTTTATAATAAGTATTAAAAATTAGAACTATTAAAAGAATAAAAAAATATACTCGTGTAATTATGTAAAAGGAAGGATCATTTCAAAAACACTATATTATTTTACGAGTATTCTTGTCATAAAGGGAAGAAATTATCTAATATCTAAGAAAATAAAGATAATGATATTATGCAAAAAAAGCCAAAAATGCTACTATAGGGAATATTTTATTACTCTATGAGAGAATGCTTTTAAATCAAATGTGGTATATGATTATAGAAAATATTATTTTATTAGTAATGATCTTTTTCGTGAACTAAACGGTAAACATATTGATGTGACATTTTACATGTGTTTAATTGATTATATAATATATATCATGTCATCATTTTGGATGACGTGACACATAAAACAACATCACTTTGATGATGTCATTACAATGAAAAAAAATAGTATATATCTTCACTTTGATGAAATGTTTAAATTTTATATTGAAGCAAAACAAAAATTCAAATGTTACAATTGAATAAAAAATAAACAGTGATAAAATAATATAAATCTTAAAGTTTAAAGATATCTAATGTAATTTAACCTACTTTTAACACACAATAATTTAAATTTAACATGTCATGCATTATGATTGAAACAAAAATTTTAAATGATTTATTTATCTTATCCCGATTAAAGTGGAGACAATATATAAAAAAATAACCCTATAAGATGTTATTAAATTAAACCAACATAAAACAAAGGATTGTGTTGGAACATCTTTCGACTGGGCCCAAAATTGAGCTTGGACTTGAATAAAATAATTAAGTCGTCACCGATCATTTTAAAAACAATATTTAGGTTGATTGGACACCATCTTACCTGATATGCACATTACCAAAGATATGTCGATTAGGGAGTCGGTTACAGTCAAGGAAAGATTAGCACTCTTGAACTGCCCTTTCGTACTAATTAATTTCCAGTTGTCTTAATTAAGAAAATTGTAATTTAAATTTAAAGATAAAAGTTCGATCCGAATTACTCACCTTTAATGGATTTAAAAGCATACTTTTAAAAAAGTCAGAAAAAATGTTAGCTAAAGTAAAATGCAGAATCAAAAAAGACAATAACTAAAAAAATGGGTATATAATTGTTTCTTCTAACAATTTGGGCGCACGATAAGGATTTCTCTGGGTGCACGTTAGCAGGGCTAACGAAAATCTAAAATCTCGTCACGTCTCCGGTGTTCTCTGTTCTTCTCGCTGCGTTCTTAGTATATCGTTTCTCCTGCATCTAAACTGGTTTATTTTTCCTTTTGAGGGTTCCATGGATTGGAGGAAACTTTTTGGATGTACTGCGGGGTAAAATCTGGATTTCTTTTCGCCTAGGGTTTGCGATGGGGTCACAACCGTCCATCCCCCTCCTGAAGTCTATGAAGCTGGAATATCTGAATGGAGGCTTTCGCTTGTTGGGCAATTCCTTGGTATTGCGCCTAACTTCACTGCTATGCAACGCATCGTGGATAATTTGTGGATGAAAGCACTGACAGGAAGTATAGTTCAGGTTAGCTTTGCTGGTAATAACCTGTATGTTTTCTCTTTTTACTCTGAATCTGCAAGAGATTGGGTCCTCGAGAATGGACCATGGAATATCCTAAATAAACCGTTGATTCTTAGAAAATGGGAGCCTAATTTGACAAGATTAAACTTTGATCTTTCTAAGGTTCCTGTCTGGGTTCATCTTTATAATGTCCCACTCGAATTGTTTTCTAGGGCTGGCTTGAGCTATATTGCTAGTGCCATAGGAACCCCTTTATCCATGGACACTGTAACTGCTGCTAAATCTCACTTAGAATATGCTAACATCTGCATTGAATTAGGAGTAAACGATGATATTCGAAATATGTTGAGGTCATTCTTAGAGATAGGAATTCTACTTCTGTTGTAGTTGAGGTACCATGGCTCCTTCTCGTTGCAAGAAATAAATGTCTTTGGTCACTGTTATAAGAACTGTGTAGTAATTAGAAATACAATGTCTTTGGTCACTGTGATAAGAACTGTGTAGTAATTAAAAATACAACTCCTGTTAAAATACAAATCTGGAAAAAGAAGGAAGACATTTCTCCTATTACAGTAGCCGAAACTGATGTTGGTGGTATTGAGTTTTTATAGGAAAATGAATCACATGTCTCTAAAGATACGAATGAAATTAGCAATAAACCTAGTGATTCTGTGGATATGATTAAGAATCCTGTTGTTGTGAATAATGACCCCAATAAAGAGAAATAAACTACTAACTCTGAATCTGTAGACCTCTTCCTGATGGAAAAACTGTTTCTAAACCTTTGTTCCTAAAAGGGGTAGGGGAAGACCAGAAAAGAACAAATCTAAAGTTGATATTTATGGATCAAAAAATAGATTTGAAATACTCAATAATGTTGATGATATTCCTACTGCTTCTGAAGGCCAACAAAGAAATATTAGAGTAGCATCCTTAGGAGTATCTAGTATTGTTAATGAACTAAAATTAAAGAAGAAAGACAAGCTTACAAAAGCTAACAATGTTGAAGTAGGTGGTAGTGGAGGTTCTCTTGATATCTCTTCTCAATGATCATTGGCTTCTGGAATGTTAGAGGGATAAATTGTCCTCTTAAACAATAGATTGTTATAAGAAGAGCAAATCAGAATAAGATGGATGTTTTTTGTTTGTTGGAGACTAGAGTAAAAGCTGAAAAGTCTATAAATATACTAGGAAGAAAATTTGATAACTGGAATGTTTGCATCAACTATGATTTTGCCATTAATGATATGATTTGGATCTTATGGAGGAAAGGCATTGAGTTTTCTGTTTGTCATGTATTTGAGCAAAATATTACTATTAAAAGTCTTCATCTTGGAAATCCCATTGTCATTATTATTGTGTATGGCAGCAATGATGACAGAGTTAGAAAATTTCTTTGGCAGCAACTCCATGATTTGGATAGAACTTATGGTCAACTCCCTTGGATTCTTGGAGGAGACTTTAATGTAATCATTAATTCTAATTAGAGGTCTGACTTTGAAGTCCTAGGTCCTTATATTTCTCTTGATATGAGAGATTTTAAGGATACCCTATCTGACCTTGACCTCTTTGATCACCCTTACTTTGGCCCTTCTTTTACTTAGAGCAACAAACAACAAAATTCCTACCTTGTTAAGAAGCTTGATAGAGTGCTTGTTAACCAAAACTGGGTGAATTCCTTTTCTTCTTCCCATGTAGAGTTTATGGCTCCCTGCACTTCTGACCACTATCTTGATCTTCTCTGGCTCTACAAAAAGGTCCATGATAATTGCCCTAAACCCTTTAAATTCTTCAATTTTTAGACTCAACACCCAAATTTCTTAAATGTTGTTAATCAATCTTGGCAATGTCCTTCAGTGGGTAATCCAATGCAAATCCTTTTTACAAAGTTGAAGCGCTTGAAAGCTCACCTTAAGGACCTTAATCATACCTTCTACAGTGATCTTTCTCACCGGGTAAACCAGAAGAGAATTGAATTAGAGCAGAATCAACTTAAGACACTTAGAGGGGAGGCTGTTATTGAGGAGGATCTTTATTTGCAAAGAGAATTAAAGACCCTGGAAGATGCTGAAGCTATGTTTTTAAAGCAAAAAGCCAAGGTACAATGGCTAAAGGAGGGTGATAAATGTACTAAGTTTTTTCACTATGTTGTTGCTTTTAAAAAAAAGAGACACCATTAAGTTCTGGTGGATGAACAAGGGAACAATTAGAGACTTTTGATAAAATGTCCTCTGAGGTGATTATCTTCTTATCTAAACTGATTGGCTCCCCTGATCCATGTGTGAAGACTCTTGATCCGCATCTTCTACAAGATCTTCTTCAACCTTCCTTGCCTACTAATTCCACTACTGACCTTATTAAGGATGTTTTAAGGGATGAAATTAAAGAAGCTTTCTTTATCCAAGGGAATGATAAAGCCCCTGGACCTGATGGGTTCACTCCTCTTTTCTTCAAAAAGTCCTGGCCTATTATTGGTGAAGATACTACTGCTGCCATTAAATAGTTCTTCCAGGAATATTTCTTGCTCCCTGCGTTTAACGCCACTGTAATCACATTGGTTCCTAAAATTCCTAATCCAAGTAAGGTCAAAGACTTCAAACCTATTTCCTGCTGTTCTGTGGTCTACAAGGCAATATCAAAAATTCTAGTCAGCAGACTTAATAGACTAATTCCTGACCTAATCACTCTTAACTAAACTGCTTTTATAAAAGGCAGAAATATTGTTAACAATACTCTTCTGGCTCAAGAATTAGTTAGAGGTTACATTAGAAAATCTATATCCCCCAGATGCTCTTTGAAAATTGATCTTCATAAAGCCTTTGATTCTTTAAATTGGGGTTTTATCACTGCTATTTTAAAGGCTCTAGGTCTTTCTACTACTTTTATTACTTGGATTGAAATCTGTTTTTCAACTGCCAAATACTCTATTTCCTTCAATGGGAGCTTGATTGGTTATTTCAAAGGTGCAAGAGGTGTTAGGCAAAGAGACCCACTCTCCCCTTTCCTATTTTTCCTCTCAATGAATGTTCTTTCAATACTTCTCAACTTGGCTGCTGCTAAAGGTACATTTGGATACCATCCAAAATGCAAAAGAATTTCCCTTACACATCTCTCTTTTGCTGATGACCTTTTAATTTTCGGCAAAGACTCTGTGAATTTTGTAATTGGTGTTACTACTGTCCTGGACTTATTTTATGAAATGTCTGGTCTGAGACTAAATGCTTCTAAATGTGAATTGTTTGCTGCTGGTGTTCCCTTTATTGATCTTGAGGAAATTAAGTTGATTACAGGTTTTAAACTTAGCAGTCTCCCTGTTTGATACTTAGGTATTCCCTGATCACTAGAAAGTTTCTGAAAAAGATTGCACTTCCTCATTGATAATATTAAGGCAAGACTTCATTTCTGGTCTGGTAGGATGCTAAGCTATGCAGGCAGATTGGAATTAGTTCGAGAAGTGTTATTTAACATCGCTAACTACTGGTGCAGGCAATTGATCCTCTCATCCTCTGTATAAAAAAGATTGAATAGCTCTTGTTGAGTTAATCGATCGACGGAATCGGCCAAGAGGGGGTGAATTGGCAATTAAAAATTTCGGTGGAAGCTTTTGTAGAAAATTGAAAAGATTTGCACAGCGATTTAGAGTGCTTCGACTTTCTCAACCAAAGTCTACATCCACTACCTTAGCTATCCACACTAAGGATTTTCTAACAAATTCACTAATTTGTTCTTTCTTTTGAGGCCAAAGAGATAACTTTACAACATCCTCAAGAATATACCACAATTCTTGAGAACACTCTTTCTCAAAGAGAATATTACAAATTTGTAAACTTACAAGGAAATCCTCACAAGGTAAATTGTTTGCACAATTCTAGAACAAAGAAAAGAACACTCAAGAATGAATACAATGGAGTACAAGTAGTGTTCTTGAAAGCAAAATGAATATTGAATGAAAAATAGGCTTGAAATGCTCAAACTTGAGGTTTGATGTTTTCTCTTTGATTCTCTCTTGATTCTAGTTGCTTGTTGTTTCTTGTTATTGATCAATGGCTTCTAATCTTGTTTAAATACACCTTCAAATGATTCTGAACGTTGGGGATGGTTAGTAGAGTCAATAAAGTCGTTTAAGTGTGAAAATAATTAATTAAAGCAGTTGGGAGCGTCAGTGCATCGATGCATACCCTAGGTGCATCAGTGTAAAATTCAAATATTTTGACCGTTGGACTCTCAGTGCATCGGTGCACTAAGAGTGCATTCGATGTTTCAAAATAGCCAGAGTGCATCGATGCATGGCTAGTGCATCGATGCATCAAATGCATTCGATGTTTTCATAAAATCCTCAGTGCATCGGTGCATGGTATGTGCATCGATGCATGAAATGCATTCGATGTTCAATTTAATTCATGGTGCATCGATGCATGGATTGGTGCATCGGTGCATCACTCTGAAAAATTGATTTTAGGCTTGATTTTGGTTCAAAATACTTTGTGAAAATTGTTTCAAAAATATATTAAGTATAAAACACAATTTTACACATTTAGTAAGGTTTGAAATTGATCTTAAAAGAATTGGAGTAATAATTTGATATTCGATTAATTGAATCGAATATACTTAGAAAATCATTTGTAAAATCTTAAAATTTATTTAAACTAGTTTGTTATATCGAAACACAAAAATGTTTTCAACAATCTCCCCCTTTTTGATATAACAAAACATTTGTGTTATTTTAAGATTTTCTAAAAATTTGAAATCAATTTTGAAAAATAAAAATTACTCCCCTTACTATAACACTTATCCCTTTTAAAACATTTTAACACTTAACATTTCTCCCTATTTTTGTTAAATCAAAAAGATTTAAAAATCGATTTAAACAAGGTTTTGAAAAACATAGCCAATTGATTAAATATATATATATATAGCTTAAGCTGCTAAGATCATAATCAAAAGAGAGATTAGCCATTAGTTCCATAAACAATATTCATAAATAAATGTGAGATGGCATAATTGATCATATATATCTAATGATGCAAAAAATAAGAAAATTCAACCAAACCAAATATATATATAAATTAAGTTCAAAATCTAATCATCCAAACCATAACAAATTCAAACATTAAAAATCCAAAACAAACAACTCCATGAAAAAGGTCAAATCCATAGGAGGGTCGGGAGGAGGAAGATAATGAGCTCGAACTTCAAGAGTGAGTGTGTCCATACGTTCACGCATCTCCCGCTAAAACTCAGTAATCTAAGACTCCATGGAGGCAAACCTCATATCAAATGACTCCAAGAAAGATCGAAAATATGGTGGCATTTGATCTTCTTGTCGTGCCGGTTCGGTGCAGGCTCATCGTCTGGAACGTGATCGTTATATCTTGCATAAGTTGATGAAACTCAGGATCATCGTCAGCAGTCGGTGCCGTAGGAGGAGGAGGAGCACGAGAAAAGCTAGGAACAGCTCGTGAAAAGCTAGCTCCCGGAGTTTGCTTTCCGGGTCTAAAACCCATTGACCGGTTTCCTCGTCTTGTTTCCACTCAGCCTTCTTTAACGAGGTTAGATTGATTGGGTTTTGGAGAGGAATGGATTATCAAGAGAGACGTCTAGACCAAGTTTGATAAAGAGGTTACTAAGAAGACATCCATAAACTAATGTTTTTATATGTTTTGAAGGAACAATATTTATGATATCTACTAGTTGGCTAAAAATAATGTGGGATAGATTTATTTTGATTTTGTTCTTAATACAATACATCCACCATAAATCCCTAGCACGAAGAGTGGAGTACCTACCAGCGGATGGTCGAAACCACCACGAGATTATCAAATGAAGAAAACGATCGTGATAAGAACGAAGGTACTAACACTAGCGTTTGGAATATAGGGATAATTCACATTTTCATTTTCATTATATGACCCATCATCATCTAACCCAAAACGTGAGGCTATAGTCGAGGGGTCAATATTAATATATTGGCCTAAGACATAGGATCTAATAGCAATAGTCCCACATTGATTATCATTTTGAATGCACACCGCATTAGAATAGAAAATGCGGACTAACTGATGAAAAATGACAGGTTTGAGATGAAACAATTTATCAAACTTCCAAGTTTTAAGAATTGGGAGGTATTCAAAATCAATGTCAATTATGGCTTGAAGAGAAGGAATACGCTCTTCCTGAATTTATAGGATTGGAAAGACTCCATATACCAATGGTACAGGTCATCTCTACAACGTTCAGGCATGTTGAAACAAAGTCCTATAAGACTAATAGGATGAGGAGGAATGGGATTTGGAGGTTGGTTTGAACGAGAACGGCTCGATGAAGTTCTAGGGCGTTTGGGATTAGACATAGTTTAGGAATGTAACCTGCAATATGAAACACATGTATGCACAATAATCAATCCCAAAACTCAATTGAGTCCTCAATAATTCAAGGTTTCTAAACCGAATCCTAATGGGCAATATTTTGAAAAACTATTTGAAAATAATATTTGTAAATAATATGTATAGTTTTTCATGAAATCAATATAATTAAATCAAAAACATCAAATTTATAAATTAAATTTAGATTTTTGATTTTTTTTATTTCGAAAATTCACAAATTCATTGAAAATTTGTGAGTTTTTTATTAAATTAGTTGTAAAAACTAGTTTGTAATCATCAAACTATCAATGCCGATATAATGTTCATCCTAGAACTAATTAAAACTAGTCCTAAGATCAAAAATTAATAAAATAGGGTTTTTGAAATATTACCTTGAAATTTTCGGATTTGAGAGGAATGTGATGTTGTTTTGCATGATTTGATGATAAATGCAGGATTAGGAGTTGAAAAACTCGAAGATTCTAACAATATTTCGTTGATTTTAAGCAAAAGGAGATTTTTGAGTGAAAGAGGGATGAATGGCGGGGTGTTTTGAGGTTTAGATATTTGAAAGAATGAGAAAATAGGGTTTTAATACCTAAAACCCGATGGATGCATCGATGCATGACCCTGTGCATCGATGCACATTCAAGGCGTGCATCAACATGATGAATTGATGCACATTCAAAGGGATGCATCGATGCACTGTTAAGTGTATTGATGCATGAAGCACAAAAATATCAAAAATCCATTTTAAATACTTAAAATGCTAAATTAATTAGCTCTAGTGGTATTGGCAACTCATATATTGAAAATTAATCATGTTCAATCAATGAAATTACTCTTTAAACAACATTTGAACATAAAATTAATTTTCACCAAATAACATAAACTCCCCCTAACTAATAGCAATGAATGCAACTATTATAAGCAATTTTCATTTATTCTTAAAAGTGCTAAAATTATTTTAAACACAAAGTGAATATAGGTCAGTTAAACCTAATTCTATCCTAAGTGTCCAAAATCTTTCATTGTCTAAAGGTTTTGTAAAGATATCCGCTAATTGATGCAAAGTATCAACAAATTCTAGAACTATATTTTTCTTAGTGACATGGTCTCTAATGAAGTGATATCCTATTTCAATGTGCTTAGTTCTAGAGTGTTGGATGTGATTTTTAGTGAGACAAATAGCATTAGTATTGTCACACTTGATAGGAATAGTACTTACTTCAATTCCATAATCAAAAAGTTGTTATTTCATCCATAAAACTTGTGCACAACAACCACCGGCTGAAATGTATTCTGCTTCAGTGGTAGATAATGCAACAAAATTTTGTTTCTTTGAAAACCAAGAAATCAGTATATTTCCAAGGAATTGGCAAATACCGGAGGTGCTTTTCCTATCTAATTTGCATCCTCCATAATCCGCATCGGAGAAGGCATGCAAGCTAAAGCTAGAGTCTCTAGGATACCAAAGTCCTAAACTAGAGTGTCCTTAAGGTATCTAAAGATCCTCTTAACAACTAGTAAATGTGATTCCTTAGGGCATGATTGAAATCTAACACATAGGCAAACACTAAACATAATATCCGGTCTACTTGCAGTTAGATAAAGCAAAGAACCAATCATTGACCTATAAAATTTAACATCCACACATTTACTTCCTTCATCTAAGTCAAACTTTGTTGATGAGCTCATTGGAGTGTCATGAGGTTTCCCATTTTCCAGTCGAAACTTCTTGAGCATATCTTTGACATATTTAGCTTGATTGATGAAGATGTCATTTTTTTTGCTTGATTTGGAGTCCCAAGAAAAATGAGAGCTCCCTCATCATGCTCATCTCAAATTCACTTTGCATTAGCTTAGAAAATTCTTAGCAAAGAACATCATTAGTAGAACCAAATATTATATCATCAACATAAATTTGAACTACTAATAAATTTTTACCTTTATGCTT